TTAGATGTCAGCGTCGAGATTTGCCTTTACTTTGTAAAGTCATTACTTTTCTCTTTGTGAAGCAGGGGACACAATAATGTGCAATGACCTCTTCGGGACTCGAACCTGGACCTTTCGAATACGTGCCGATTATGCTACCGTTACACCACGAAGGCATACTGGAAGGTGGAAGAAAATACCAGTAAACAAACAAAATTAATCAAGACCTAGATGTGCACATTTTTTTACTAGAAGCTTGAGCACCAGACTTGCAATAAATATTTACTGGAAATGAAGTGACAACTTTGCCAAAACATAAAATTCAGTAACATTTCTTACGGTGCTGGGTGCCGAAGAAAAATTCTTATTGATATTCTTTTACAGTTATAAATTCTAAATCAAAAAATTTCCTAAGGTACATATTAAAATTTAATCTTTATACATTTTCTGTAATGCTATTGCAATGTTTTCCTACAATTATACTCAAAATTGAACAGCTAGAAAGCTAATTACGTACGTATATCTTCATTCTCTCTTAAGGTAACCACCTCTGCTATACTAGATGATCACTGTCGATGTAATCCATTTACTCAGCACTTTATGCTTGACCATATAACAGCGCCATTCCATAATTTAAAGTAATTAACGAAAACAAAAATAAAGACGCTGTGAGCAGCATAATCTCGTTAAATGGATTACATTGCAATTTCTCAAGCCAAATAATTTCACCCTTCTAAGTCCCTTCTTAGATTCCAAGACTCTGAGATGAAAATTAGCGTTGCTGTAAATAAGCGAAAATGTTTTATGTAAGCTGACAATATAGCAGAAGTGACTAATGACGGACATATTCAAATAATTCAGAATAAACATAAGACTTTGTTGCATAAAATATGGAAAAGAATTGTATTATATGTGCAATAAGTACTGCGCAAGGAGGAGCTAAATAAAACTGAAATAGAGTGCATGCCATATACAAGTATAATACATAAACAAAGATCTAAGGAAGTTTATACAGATTCTGAAACGATCAGCAGTTTCATTTAGATCATTCATTCATATTAGATTACATATGTATTATATGTATTATAAGTTCATTTAAGAAATAGCAAATGGCTTCAGACATTACAGCACACAAATATCAAAACAAGCCTGATAGAATCCTGTTCTTTATTCATAATAGCAAAAGTATTACTTATTTAACTAAAATCTGTATTACATATGTTTTTATAAGAATAAAAATGTTAAAAGGCCGATTTACTGGTAATAGATCTATTACCATATACTAATTAACTCGTTTATACTAATTAACCTGTTTTTATAAGTTACATTTGTACCATCATTTCCATCATTTGGTGAAAGCTAAGAAAGCTTTCACCAAAATGCAAATGAATATACGTATTTAAGTCGTAGTTCTTGAATGTTTTATATGCAGAGATTGGACAGCGAAGCTCGGACGAACTTCTGTTCAAATAATACTTTTCTTTGCTGAATATTGTGGGACTTAGTATTGTAAACAATACAATGGCCAGAAAGAAAAAAAAAATTTGGACCAGCTCAATCGGGAGAATGTGTTGGCCAATTAAAATCGGCTTTTTTTAAATTGGTCTTCTCCAATTATGTCTATTAGGCTGCGTTCAGACGGTGGCGTAAAGGGCATAGAGGCGTATTCAGAGGAGCATAAAATACGGGAATTCCGTTCACACTTGCGAGAACGGGGTGTACGCCGTGAGAGAAGCTAAATTTGCGCATGCGTGGATGTGTCTACAACTTTCCCGCGCTGTTCTCCTGCTCGATTGATTTCCCGCATTCGCTCTGTTTGTTTTGTGACAGCGAAATCTTCTATAGAACGCCGCTTCGTTTTAGCTTCGCTCTGATTGGTCGACGATTATCCCAAAGTCCGCGTAAAGTTAAAAACTTTGAACCCTATGCCACGAGCCCTAAACCAGATTTTGTGACGTAGCACAGGCTGGTTGCCTTGGGAACGGAGCTCGCCTTTAACCACTTATGCCCTTTACTCCCCCGTCTGAAGGAAGCTTGAGGAACCGTATAGTTTGTCTCCTAGTAACGGCAGTTGCTTTATCTTGCTGCCACCAAACGTTACCAAACCTGTAATGGATCAAAGCCTCACTTAGCACCTCTTTCATAACTGAGTTGCCGCGGCGGGGGCATTGACCCCTGCCTTGGCAAAAAAGCAGTTGAAGAAGTTTTCCTCCCTTTGTGTGGACTTCTTATCCAGATGAGAACTACGAGAGATGGCTCTCGTACCTTTAAACCCTTAACAGTTCGCGTTCTTAAATTTAGCTATGCTTACCTCTGAATTATTCATATTTTCTTAACGAAGTTGTGGAGGTAATTGTTGTTTTCAGCAAAGGTACTCCGGAAGCCATCCGCCTTGGTCCTTGGTCCAAACGTCAGTGAATCCTAAATAGCCGAGTAAACAAACCTCTCTAACATCTAGCGGTTTCGCACCTCAGACACTATTACTGCATTGCCTTTGCCGTCTTCAAAGAAGTATGGCTCGATTATTTTTTCTAAAATTACACTACACGAAACGGTGACTCTGGAGTGCAACTGACGCTGATGGACAGAAAAATTCGCGTGCTGGAACCGGAGACGCTAATCCATGTTACAGTAAATGCACTGGAAAGAGCGCAAACTTGCGAAGAGGCACATAAAAATCATTTGCGAAGCATCCAGTTCCATAATGTTATAATGTCATATACAGAAATATTACTTCATTTAATAGAAAAATAAAAAAGCTACTGGGCTTTTAAATGGTAACGGGTCTTCTGGACCACCCTAAACTTATGATCGTACAAGAACGTTAATCGATTTACTTACTAAAATAAGTACGTTAAATGTGGATGCCTATCATTTTAGGTGTCGGTATTTAGTAATTTCTTGAACATCCATCAATTTAGTTTCAAAGAACTGCTTATATGATTCAACTGTTAATATCCTGAGGCTTAAGGATGCACATAAGCTTTGGCAAACTATCAGAAAAGAATTTTTGCGATGCATTTATGTATCGACAGATTAAAGGAATGGATTTTGTTGAACCAATGTGGGCAATTCGAACACTCGAATTCTAAACAGATATGATGCTATAAAAAAGTGAATTTTACTCGTATTTGTATATTAAATTAAATGTAATAAATACCTACTGCAGAATATTTTTACCAAAGCATGTATGTAGTAAGCCGAAGTTGATAAAATATTTCACAAAACCTATATATACTGATTAAAGGTTATCTACACTTCTTATGGCAATTTCTTCTTCTTTAAAGAGACAGAGAAATAAAATATTTTAAAAAAATATTTAAAAAAAAAAAAAAAAAAAGAGAGAGAAAGAAAGAAACAATTTTCCTATCAAAGGTAAGAACTTCAACTAATTAGGAATATCTAACACCGAATCCTTTTCGAGGAAAACTTTCACTTTAATGAAACACCCTAGCACCTTTTCGGGATGTGCCTCTTCAATTAAATTCGCGGATGAGTTAGGGTTCTAGTTCCAATAACACAGCCACAGATGTAAACAACAAGAGTCGCGAAGAAATGTCTCACCTCCACCCACTTCGAAATCTGAGACGGGAGATTTTTAAGAAGAGGTGATCATGACGCGTTACCATAGGAACGCAGAGAAGTAATTGGGTGCCCGATAAATAAAAAGTGAAAGAAGCAAATTTCTGGAAAGTGAGGAAACTGTATAGGGCGTAGTTGCTGCGAAGTAATTGCAAAGATAGCAGGTAACTACGAATAAGAAATCTGAAAGGAAGGTAACGAGTGGCCAAACGTGTAATGTTGTGATAATCGTAATTTAACATTTGCTTCCACCTGCCACCTGGGAAAAGCTACTTTAAAACCGAAACGCGTATTCCTGTTAGCTAGAAATTGTTAAAGAAGATATGGCTGCGGTATAAATTTAAATTATTCGAAAAGAAAATACATTTCTCAAGTGTTGAAAATAAAGATACAATGGGAATCACATATTTACGCACTTTTTAGCAGCAACCTGTTTTCATGACGAGGGCCGAGTCATTTGCCTCTCAAAATACACTAAGCCTTTCTTAAAATGTAAAATTAGCACTTAGTTTCATGAGCACACACATAAAACAATAACACAAAAGAATAGTACAAAGTGAATCATAAAGTCCCTAAACATATAACTGAAAGTAAAAGCTGTTGCTCCTTGGTTCGATCATGGTAAGTATTCATTATTTTTTCATTGCTCATTTAAGATCATGGTCAGTATTCATTAATTTTGGTCATGGTCAGTATTCATTATTTTTTCATTGTCACTGCTACACAATTATAATAACACGTTAAGCGCCATATCAGTCACTGGTGACTGACGATTAAATTCTACACAGATCTCGGGTCATCAGCATATCACTTAAGTTGGATATCACGGGCTAACAGGAAAGGAAGACGAAACAGGGTTGCTGCTTAACGTATTCCTAAAAACCTTCTCATGTAAGCTGAAAGTTGCTGCTAGTCAAGACATTGTAACTATAAAATTAGCTAAGATTACACTAATTCTCAGCCTGTTCTGATGGAATGGAAAAATATAACACATTATCAAAAACATGTCATAAATTCATCTGCAAACTCTAAATATAACAAATGGCCATAAAAACCAATGTAACTAAAAACTGCAAACTACATTAAGTAAACAAAGGTTTCTGTTCCACACTCCTCCAAAAATAATTTACAATACTGGAACATTTTACTGAAAAAAAAGAAGTTGAATAATTTAATTTTTTTTTTCCCCCAGAAGGGTCACCACATAGCACCCAACCCAAACACTGACGAATGGATTAACAGCTATACATGACTTGGAATGACAGCTCTGAATTGACTTTGGAACCTAGACTGATTTTGGATTGGACTTTGGGAGCTTTGGATTGACAGCTACACGGCAGCCAATCCAAACAAAGTTTGGAAAGAACTTCTCCAAAATTTTATTCAACTGTAGATATATTAGGTTATTTCGAGAGCAGGAGAGGTGAAAAAATGTGCACTGCCCTCGCCGGGACTCAAACCACGAGCCTCTCGAATCGCGGTCGAGCGTGCTGACCACTACACCACGAAGGCATGCTAAGGCGGCGGGAGGAATATCTTATACAACATTGCATTTAAATAACGCTATTTTTAAGGATTAAGATATCTGACTTATTGCTCTTTCCGTTGTTGCTTATGTTTTGTTCTTAACGAGTTATGAATGTTCAAGACTTTGGTAGGGATACATTCAAAATCAGCCACAGATCCTGTCATGAAGAGTAACCATATAACTTTAGCATTTTAATTATGAGGGGAGAACACTATCACTAGTAGGTATCCCAGGATTTTTCACAATCTTCTTCTGGTGGATTTTCGTACCGACGGATCAGTTACGATGTGTTTAAAACTCTTATTTGGCTTATCATAGCTTAAAATGAAAAACGTCACCATCATAAAGGTGTTCATTCTAAATATTAGAAAGATAACATTAAATTCCATTTGAATACTAAGTTCATTGTTCTTACTCTATTACCAGATCCTTTACATATGAGAATTGCTCTTGCCATTTCCCACTTAAATTGCGGCAAGTATTCATCCTTGATTAGCATTAAATCATTCACATGTAAATCACCAATGGATATTTTTCACTTGTGCACTTACAATTGAGTCGAGTATCTTTTGGCAATCGCCTTTCAAAACGACTGGGAAACCTGTGTAACTAATTTTCACTGTTCACGTAAGGAAATTCACTCATTCATAAAATCAGGTTCTAGAACACATTTTCGAAACCGACAACGAAGTGGGTGTAATGACAGAAATATCATTTGGGTCAACAGAACCAGCCATTAAAAGATGAAAATTAATACTGCTTCAGTCTCCAACAGGCATGCAGAAAACTCTTCTCTTAATAAGAATCTGCGATCCTATCACACGTTTCATGCGAAACTTCGTAGATTTAACGACTGTCTCCTATAGGTCTCCAAAATGAGAGGCCGATGGAACATTCATTGCGCATTTAACGTTTTCATTAGTTAAGTAATTAGCAATTGTCTCTTTTTTCTTTTGTACAGCCTTTTAAATAATGCTTTGCACGGATAAAATTCGTTCCACAACCGCTGAATATTTCAGCTGCCATGCATCGTCGACCGATGAATTGTTTTAATGCTGCATTACATGCCTGAGCACTGACAAACTCTAAATGGACGGTTTCGTTGCAAAGCACACAAATGTATACATGTTCAATGGCTCAAATTCTCTACCACGTAGAGGGTTGATCAAAAATGGTCAAACAAAATCAGTACCACACCTAAGAAATGCTCTTCCGGGATACATTCTCGCAGACGATAAGTCTGCCGTCATTTGTTTCGAAAAATCAGAGCAAAATCTGGCACAGATAACGCAGTTTCCCACTTTTTAGAGTATTGCAGTTTTTACTGCTATAATCCAATATTTTTGTTTCATCGCAAAGTTAACAAATTGTACTCCTCCATGTACTCAATAATTTTGTAACAGGACGATTCTTACGCAAAATTACCTGAAGTTTCACAGACCCTGGTCAGCTGGCATTTTTTAAATGTCTCCCACATGTAGTAGCTCACTGTTGTCCAAGAAAGTATTTAAAGATATTAAAGACCTCTTTTTTAACACTCTCGCTTTTTTTAAAGTAGATATTTCCTTTTTATAATCAATTCTTTGAACTAGCTTAATTAGAATATCATGCGCTTCTTTTAGTTCCCTTGATTCTAAGAAAGAAGTTAAAATCCTATCCCCCTTACATTTCTAACAAACCTATTAAACGCCATGCGACAACTCTCTGCAGCTTGCTCCAAACTGAAAATTTGTCTGCCTCCTCCACCTGTATACCTCCGCCTGACCAAAGAATCTGGTATCTAAATACGAAAGAAATTTTGTAAGACCTTTCTCTCTCTTTGAGAAATTCTTATCATTAAAAAAGACTTCTCTACGACACCTTTGAATGCTATTTTGTAATTACGAAAATTTAGAAACACATCAAGAATATTTGAATTTATATATGGGCCAGTTTAAACATTCACAGAAAGATTATCTTTAGATTTTGAACTACACTTAAAGCCTATCCAAACTTAGATTGTGTAACTAAAATTTCATAATGAATCAGTTCCATCTCTCTCATTCACAAATTTTTTATATTACACCCCAAAGAAAAACATCTGAAACAAATATTATTTTATTTAATACTTTCTACCCGCTCATTTATTGAAAATCTGTTTAAATTAGGACAAATTTTAACCCGTGATTTTGACTAGTTTTACAAAAAATACATGTATGATTTTTTACTCCAGATAGAGTGGATGGACAAAAATATGGAAACACCTTGTGAAATGCATGTTTGAAAAGAAAGATTGATTTTTATGAAATATGTAGGTGGCGCTGGCGTTTTTGACTACTGACGCCACCTATACAACTTCGTAAATGTGCTAAACAGTTCAGTTGTTGTCGGAGTACTGTTATGTGAGGTTGTCATTGCATTATGTCAGAGTTAACAGACTTCGAACTTGGGCAAATTGTTGGAGCACGTTTGGTAGGTGCTTCCGAAGCAAAGTAGCCGAGGTGTTTAGTGTTTCAAGAGGTACTGTATCGAAGATTTATTCCGCATATTTGAAAAGCGGAAAAACATCATCTGCTAAATCACAGCGCGGACGAAAGTGTGTCCTGAGTGATCGTGACAGACGATCATTAAGGGCAATTGTGACGAAAAATAAGAAGACCACCGCTGCAAAAGTTATTGCTGAAATGAATGTTGTATTACCGAACCCTGTGAGTACCAAAACAATTAGAAGGGAGCTTCATAAACAGGGAATTGCTGGCCGTGCTGCAATTGAGAAGCCACTCATCAGTGATGCTAATGCCCGTAACAGGAAAAGGTGGTGTTTAAGTCATAAAGCCTGGACTATAGAGCAGTGGAAGCGAGTAATATGGTCTGACGAGTCTTCTTTCACATTGTTTCCCACTTCTGGCCGAGTTTACGTCTGGAGAACGCCCATCTCAAGCCTATAATACAGACTGCTTGTTGCCAAGACTGAAACATGGCGGGGGTTCTGTTATGGTTTGGGCAGCCATATCGTGGTTCTCTGCTAGCCCCATGATAACTGTGTCAGGGCACATGACTGCCAAGACTTATGTGAACATTTTGGCCGATCAAGTTCATCCCATGGCACAAACTTTGTTCCCCGATGGTGATGGTGTCTTCCAAGACGACAAAGTCCCTGTTCACACAGCTCACATTGTCCAGGACTGGTTTTCTGAGCACGAGGATGAGTTGTCCCATCTCCCCTGACCACCACAGTCACCAGACCTGAATATTATCGAACCTTTGTGGTCTACCATTGGAACGGAAAGTGCGTTCACGTTATCCACCGCCAACATCGTTATCTAAACTTGCCACCGTTTTGCAGGAAGAATGGTATAATATTCCCTTGGCAAAGATACAGGAACTGTATTTATTCATTCCGAGAAGACTGCAAGCTGTTTTGGATGCCAACGGGTTTCCTACACCATATTAAGCAAAGAAACATGTTTTTAAAGGTGTTCCCATATTTTTGTCCAACCCCTGTACATAAATATTTGAAACATTTTTTAAATTATAATTACGATATAATATAACTTCTTTCGCCTCTTTTATTAGCCTTACCTGAAAATGGTTTTGTAAAAAGGGATTCTGGTTTCTGCTTACTTATTGATGACAAATAAATATTACATTCATGATTTAAAGTTTGGGATTCCATACTCCCTATTTAACTGCTATATGGGAATTTTAATTCACTATCGAGTTCACCGAATATCTTATCCGAAACCATAAGATCGCCCTCAATACAGACACTGTGAACTCAAATTATTAAATAAGAAGACCTCAATACATAACACTAATCAACATGATTTAATACTATACTTTATTTCAAAAAATCAAGATTACTATTCATCACAACCCCAAAAATAGAACCATAAGTTTTTACTTTGAATTTCCGCGCAACAAACTCCACCACCTCAGATTACAACACAATTTTTTACATAAAATTTGACAGTACGCTTGATTACCTTACCTAACCCCCTCCTAACACCAGAAAGTATTAATTTATAAGTCAAACAACAAAAATCAGAGTTATATTTTTCAAATTTTCACAGGACTAGTTTCGATGGTTTTACCGAGCCATCATTCTCAGCTGCAAAAGCGCAAATGAAAAGGAGAGATACAATGATTAGATAAGATAAGAAAGCTTGGACAGGAGATAAGCTACTGGCGCCATCTGTTGATGAAACCAGAACTACATAATTTCTTTAAAGGCTGAAGGCAAAGATGTCACATTTTCCATTGGTGAACTGGATTTTCTAGAGGCATTTCACATTCAAAAAAATCTTTCTGTGCTAGTTAACGACCCTAATTCCAACCCATCTTTATTAAAATTAGGGATAGAGAAAGGAAAAAATCCAGCAATAATACCTTTTAAAAAAATTATACATAGTTGAACAAATTTATGAAACTTCAGATATAATTGTTTGTTTTAAGGTTTAACAATACATTTTTTTCGTTCAAGAAGGATTTATATTTATTTTCATTTTACTTATTTATTTATTTTGTAAATTTTTGAATAATTCCTATCTGTGTGGTAAATAAATCGGATTAAATTAGCATCATATCTTTTTGTATAACGCTGATTTTTGTTGTTTGACTTTCTGAATTGGTATCTTTTTCTATATTTACCTATAACGTTCTCAGTTTGTAACTTCACCAGTTTTTTTATTCATTTCTTAAAAATGGTAAGTAACAATAATTATGATGCAGAAATCTTAGATTGGTGTGAATCTCATATAAAATTCAAAATCAAATTTTATATAAAATATGCTAATCTAGGGCTTCTCTTTTTAGACTTATATTTCACATGTTTCCTTTTAATTCCTTGTATTTTAGATGACATGCTTCTTTCCTCTACAGATTTATTTATTTCTTTGTCCCCGATACATTCTTATGAAAGGAAAATTTCATAAAAATCTGATCCCTCAAAGCAGCAAATCTAAATTAAAAATCAACTAATTCCAGGAACGAGGCTTGAGTTTTT